AGAAATCCAAATAGTAATTCTGCTCCGCTGTCCTCTCATGGAATACTCTGTCTGTCCGTGTCATTGAGGGTGCTGAGGGAGAAAAGGGACTAGGGCTGCAGCCCGGAAAGAGAAAGTGTGTGTGTGTCCCTTCATTTCAGCCAAAATTTAAAATGATGTCATTATTTACTCACCCTCAAGTCATTCCAAACCTGCATGCCTTATTTTCTTCTAAAGAATACTTTCTAAGGAAACTTTTCAAATTAATAAAAGTAAATGAGGTCTATGGCAGTCAAGCTCCAAAATGATAACAAAGCACAATGAAAGTATTATATAAGCAGTCTAGCATTATATTACAAGTTTTCTGAAGTCATGTGATAGCTGTGTGTGATTAATACATTAAAGTTGTTGTGCTTTCATGTCATTTTTGAAGCTTGAATGTTTCCGTCCCAGTTCTATATAAGTGCATGGAAAATGTGTGTGTGTATGCATTTTAAAATGTTATTTTATTTATGGGATGGCAAAAGCATTCTTTTGTGAATATTCAAACAGAACTTACTTACCTTTGTCACCAATTGAATGCCTTCTCACTAAGTATTAATTTCTAAATGAATGAAAGAATGACTTTTGAAGGGTAGTGTAGTGTATATGTCAGGCAGGAAGAAAAAAATAGTGAAATACTTTGGTTTGTTTCTGACACAAAGCTATGACATCAGAAGACTTGGAATACATGATATGACTGCTTTACAGTGCTTTTTGTCCTTTTATGAGCTTGAAAGCCCCTGGTTACAATATTCTTCCAATCTATGGAAAAGAGTAGCATGAACCTTCTGTGTAAATCCAGTGGAAGAAAGAAAATCATATGGGGTTAGTAACCGCATGAGGAATTTCAAAACCACAGATTTTTCATTTTCCGCTGAACTACTCCTATTGGTATCGTGTCTTCGGCCACAGTATGAATCCACACAAACCAATGATCACATCTCTCGTTCCTGTTCCACACAAAGACCTGAACCTTCTCATTATTTTCTGCCCTATTGATATTACACACAATTTCAAGACAAATTTGTTCCATTTCTCTGCCTCGTCCAATGAGCACTCAGGAAAATTTGGCAACTTTCAGACTTTCTTCGACCAAATCTCAGTTGGGCCGCTCATTTGCCCAGCGGAGGCCTAGTGCGCATCGGAAATTGTTCTCAGAAAGCCATGCGAATAGGAAATGGGAACGTTTCTTTTACTTCTTGTGGTGTGACACTAATTTGCTTCCCCTTGCACTTCCAAGGCAATTAGCTTTGAAGCTTTTCAGAAGCTATTCTAGCCCAAGTCGATAGCTAGCGTGGAGAATAAGAATTTAAGCAGGTCCACTGGGGTAGGCTAGATAAACATATCAACAAAAGGAGGAGAAACCAGAGAGAGAAAAAAAAAGTGGAGGGGGGAGAGCAAAAGAAATATAATTACTCCAACTGCTCGCCTGTATGCTTGGCCTTCATTACTGCGCATCAGTTTCATGCTAAATTCACTTCCTAGCAATTTGCCTCGGAGCCAAAGCACAAGCACCAGACAGTGTAAACAAAAACTCTATTGACGGCTTGGGCAAAATGCCACCGCCGAAAAACATGGTGAAAGAGTGAACGAGGAGAGAAAGCTAAACGAGAACGGCCCATACCAACTTGTGATCTGTCTTCTGAAAAGTAGTCACTGGAAACTAAGGTCACAAAGTGTTTGACAGTATTTTGTTTGTAATGACCAGAACCATATGGAAGAAACAGCCGCAGATATCTCACATTCCATATTGCATATCCCTCGCATGGGAAAAATTGGTAACACTTTACAATATGGTTCAGTTCATTAGTATTAGTTAATGCATTAGATGAACTATCAATAAATAATGTCTATAAAGTTTAATGTTAATTTCATTTTGAAATGAATAAACAGTAACACTTTATTTTATGTACCAATTCTCATAATTAACTAGCATGCATAATACTAGCATATTGGCTGTTTAATAGTACTTATAAAGGGCATATTAATGCCTTAGTCTTATTCTTATGACCACATGGTAACACTTTAGTTTAGGGACCAATTCTCACTATTAACTAGTTGCAGTCAATAGTTAGTTAATGGTGAGAATTGTACGTTAAAATAAAGTGTGACTGGATTACCAAATTATAACAAAAAATTGTTAATCCACTAAAATTATCATCAATATAGATTAATAAATGTTGTACAAAATTGAATCGTTCTTGATACCTAATGCATTCACTAATGTTAACAAATGGAGACCTATTGTAAGGTATTAACAAATACATTGTCTAAATTGATTAAGCTTATATCTGCCAATAGGAGTGTAGTACTATCAGCACATTTTACCATGTTTTAACGTATTTCCATAGAAGTTTCTTCTAAAATAAGTGCAGAAAACTGTTTGTAGGCTCTATCTGTGCTGATGAAGACTGCTTTTGTGCTTTAGTATTTGTGAGATTGTTAAGAAGCTATGTTGTGATTTACCAAGATACATAAAGATAAAATCATGCAATAATTGTTATGAATATGACAATTTGTACTAGATATGTAACATATTATGACATACACAATATGTCAGTGGTTATTAGGTATTACAGGCTTGTAAAAGTTTACAATGTACTTTGCAACTGGATATTACAATCACCTGTAGATTTAATATGACTGAAAAAAAAAGAGATTGTAGGAAGGAAAAATCAGCGGGTCCTATCTTAATTGTTTTTCTCAGAGAGAAATGCGATTAAATGGAGACTTGCTTATGTTTCCTTTTTTTTAAAATGTTTCACATGAGAGAGAGAGAGAGAGAGAGAACCTGCGAAAGAATATACTCAAAAGTTCAAGAATTTAATATAAACACAAAAATTTAAATTATCATCAAAAGCTTTATACTGTATGTTCTGACTGTATGTCAACATGTTTTCTCTTTTCTGTCCATTTATGTTTTCCCTACAGAAGCATTTGAAGCATTTGAGACAGACGTTGATACATTTAATGGAACTTCAATTAAATCTCCTGATCTCTAAAAGATCAACCACTGTGCAATACTATTGCTTGATGACCAAAAATACATGGTAGATTAAGCTATTGTTAAATGTTTCCATAAAATAAATGTGGCGTTTGAAGACGAGGCAGTCCAGTGAGGAACAAAACAAGGCACAAACATGCATGAATTTAAAACATTTATTGCAGTAGCGGTATACCTGTAGAGCAGTAACAAGGAGTAACTGTTTAAATATCTATGATGGCAAACGTCCCCACAACCAACAAACATACTGCTGAAAGCAACTCACACCACTCTTGTCTCTTTTCATATTGTTTTTTTTTTTTATACCCTTTTTTGCATTTTAAATATTATGATCCAACATAAAGGTGCTATACAAAATGAATGGCCTCACTGCGTCACAAACCAATAATCATCAACCGAATGAAAAGAAGGTGAAACTAAGTTATTTTAAAGCTATTTCGTCTTGTTAAGCATGCGATTTCATCGTCTGAACTGGCTGCCATGCCATGTGACAAAAAAGGGAAAAAGAACGGCCCAAACATTTAAAGGAAAAACAGAAATCAAACCCAAATCTCAGTCCTTGAATTATGCACATGCTCTTTTGATCACATTCTGTTCATTGTTTTTCTGTCTTTTAATACCCCCTACATTTTGAAGAGGAATATTTTTTTTACTCTGGAATGACTGGCGCCTGACATACATTTACTGTGTTTGGTATTCAGAGATGAGGGGCTGCTGCGATTGTTTTCGTAAAACCTGTAGATCGGTACGATGTGTAGCATTATGTCATGAATTCACAGACATGAAAACTACACACTTCTCTTGCATGTCAAATATTGTGGGCAAACACACTATATTATGAAAGAAAAAAAGGACTTAGTTCTCAAAGTTTGCAAATACTACTTTCAATTAAAGCACGAGTTCAATTAAACATGTACAAGAATTACATTTGAAATTAGATGTCGAGAATTTACAAATATATTGCTGTTGAATTGTAACATCGTTCTTCTTTTTTGAGGAAAAGACATCAAGCTTTCCATTTCAGTAAGTAGAAATTGAGCATTTACATCAATAATACAAAATAGCTTTGGAAAAATATGTTTGCCAGGTTCATCGACTCAGTAAATGCAAAAAAACGGGGCAATTGTGCAATGTCATGACCGACTGACATTATCATCCGGAATTAGTTCGTTAATTTTCCGCCAGAGGGGGTGTGGGTGCATATTTACGTGTGTGTGTGTGTGTGTTTGCTTTACAGATCCAGACTGTGGTCCTCTGTTCCAGAAGACAATGACGTTAATGACAAAAGGCCGATAAAAACAATGCGACCTGTACGATGAATGATAAAAGACAGCTGTCATGTTCACTGATCTATTCCATGAGATTATTACAAGTACATAAAATCGGTTAGTATTAACTCCTATTTACAAACACTTCAACGATGACAGACTAAACGATTTCCACTAACAGTGTTATTAGCACAATGCTTTCTCGATTTGTAAATTCCATTTTCTTAGATGGTGTAGATTAATATAGTCCTCAAAAACAACCACGTCACAATATTTGTATATATTGGTCAGCCGTTACATTTTTTTTTTTTTTTTATAACCGTCATACATAGAGCACAGCCCTGTTTTGTTTTGTTCATCTTGAATGTTTGTTTGCAGTCTCTGTTCAAGGCGAAGTATACAACGATTCCTTTTAATGTGAATTTGCAGCAAAACCATGGGAGTTTAAGGGCAGCTATGGATTTGCACGAGAAGATCTCCGCAGACGAGCTGTCGGCGAGTCGGATTCGCATAGTTTACTGTCCTGCATAAGCGATAACGTCTAAGGTCTACTCCATACACGTAACTATCACACCGCATTAGCATCGATCTAAGAAAAGAAGGGGGAAAAGAGGAATGGACTAAAGCTCTCAAAAGTTGCTGGGATGATCCAAGAGAGAAGACGGACACAAAACAACCCCCCCGCCCCCTAAAAAAAAAAAAAACTCTTAAAGCTGCTGTTCTTTAGGACTGTCGGGGCCAGAGACGGGCTGATAAGATTTCAGGCTGGCCAATGGGATGTCGGCCATGTGACCACCACTGCCAAAATGTCCCTCCGAGCTCCCGAAGGTCTTCCTGTCCCCAAACTGCTCCTGGCTTCCGCGCTCACCTTTCCAGCTGCGGGTCAGGGTGTGGCCATTTAGCAGTCTCTCTTTAGACCATTCCTTTTGGTTGCTGAAAGAAGAAACAGGGGACTTGGGCGAAGGGTACGAGCTCAGGCTCGGCGGCATCCAACAGTTGTCGGAGTGGCCCAACACCAGACACTCTTGGGTGCACATCTCTGTGGCCTCCACTAAGCCTCTTGGTCCTAGAGGTCCATCTGGGGACACAAAGAGAGCAAAATTACATAGAATTGTCTGTCGAGTGCATAACCAAAGCATAGACCTGTGACATAAATGAAACCATATAAAATTATATGTAAAAATAAAAAAATATATATATATAGCTGAATGCGATTGACACATCTCACACAAGACTTTTTATTGAATAAAGTCCATAATATGCCAATAAATCTTGAAGAATATAGTATGAATAAAGCTCACATTGAAAGCATTGATATGGAGTGCCAAAGCATTTTGATGTCATTATTTTTAAATGTGAGGTAGCAGATATTTTTTTATATATATTATTTGCAAGAACGAATGCATTTATTTGTAAACACATTTTTTACATTTTCAATCTCTTCCCAACCAACCCAGAACAGACTGCATTAGAGGAAATTAATTGGTTATAATCATTAAAAATAAAAACTAAAATAATGCATGTGACTTTGAGACTTCAGATCTCTCATTGAGCATGTAGTTGTATAAGACCTTGAATAAAGATAACTATTCCTATATTTGACTTTGAATACAGTGAAATATAACACTTACATTCCACCCACATCAGAACACAAAGTGCACTGTGGGAATCGATGTGGTATCATCGGCTCACCTGAATTGTCAGATATGATCAAGAGGATAATGAAGATAATCTTCAAGGAGTCATTTAAAGGGGACCTCTTATGCCCTCTGTTACAAGATGTTACAAGTCTCAGGTGTTCGCAGAAAGTCTCTGTGAAGCTTAAGCTCAAAATACCCCACAGATCATTTATTATACCATGTCCAAAATTTAAAAAGGACAATACAATACAGTGTATTTCCTGAATATAACTTGGTTCTTAACTTTTTTGACCCCAAGGCCGCCAACCAGGAAATATTCCAGTGCCCCTACACAAGACTTTTTGACCTCAGAAAAGCATAAAAAGTCATTCAAAACAGCTTTTACCATTGTAGTAAATTCCCATTCATAGCAAGCATATTATAGTGGAGTAACAATTTAAAATCTAAGGAGAATGGGGTTCCTCTTATGGTTCTACATGGCACCATTTGACAAAGGTGCTGTATAGCACTTAAAGTGGTTCCCCTATGATTACAAGCCAATGAACCACTTTTAGTGCAATTTAGCACCATTTTTAGAGTGTAATTTTAGATAACAACAACAACAACAACAATAATAATGATACTTTATTAGTAGTAAAATAGAAAAATACTTAATGAACTAAAATTTTATACAAATTACACGATATGCACAATATTAATTAATTGAATTCATAACAGTGAACTACTGAGAAAAGTCCCCAAATTAAGGCAATTAAATAAGATGATAAAATTATAGACAAAATGTTTTATGATGTCAAAATATTGTTTGTTTTATTTCTACATGACTGAACATAAGCCAATCACTGCCTTTTCAGATGGAACAGACATTTCACTGTGTTGTTGGGCAAAACATCTGGACACTTTGAACAGTTTTAAAATGTCCCTAACAGTGTTAAAAGCAAACGTATGCTCTTGGTTTTTATAGCGTTTGACTAGACTGTGTCTTGGGTTGTTATCACAGACCACTGGCTGCACTGTTCTCAGTCCAGCTTAAAAGCTTCACTCTCCCACCAGCTGCAGAGTGATACAAATTGGGCCTAAAGTTGATTTGAAAGCAGCTTGAATTGCTAAATATAAAGTGGTGTGAGATTAACTCGAGCACCTCATCTCTACACAGAAGAGCTCTGGTTCAGCAACACACTGAATATCCTTTCATTTCCTTATGTCACTCACACAAACAATTACACAAAAAGCTTCCAAAATACAGACCAACACGTCGTTACCACCTGTATTCAGGCAAAACACTTTCATAATGCTGTAATATAATACGGTTCTGTTGAAAACACACTGTCATTTTAACGCCACTCTGCGAATCCTGGACACAAGGCATCTATTATTCATACGCTCCGTGTAATACAATACTGTTTGGAGCACTAGGGTTTCAATCCCGCCTCTAATTTTCACCATAACAACTAACATTTCTAACATTTCCTACAATGAATAAAGGCCTTTGAAAAATGCGTCGTAGAGGAAGATCAGAGATCGATGATTTGTGTTTGCGAGAAAAGTATGATCTGTATATGAAAGACAGCCACATGCCGTAGCCGGACGGAGCCAATAAATAAATAAACAGGGAAAAGATGAGCGTCTAATGAGGGGAAAAAAGCCAAAGCGCCATGTCTCTACATAATTGGTGTGATAAGGCATAACCGACTGCCAGAGTTACCGGAGGAAATGGAAGAATCGCTGAAGCAAGAGATATTTATGGCATCACTTTAAAACACATTGAGACAAAGGACTGATGACTAATAGCATGATCAACATAATCAGAACACAGCGAGACGCAACACAAAACAACATTTTTTTCTTGGTTTGTTATTTTTTTCTACCCTAAGAAGACTTGCCAACATCCTCAATGGTTGTTGCTGTTGTAATTTAATTTGGTTGGATTCTCTTGAGTATGGATAAAAATTATATTTTACTTCACTACATTCAAAAAAATAATTTTTTTTTGTTTTTACTCCTCTATTTTTCATGTCGTTTCTCGTTATTTTGAACTGGATAAATCATCACCCACTCCAAGACACGATAGTGTTGAATGAGCTGACTCTTTTCAATTAACCCGTTAAATCGATTCACAAAATCGCACCAATTGGACTGATCGGATTGCAGCTGTTCCCAAGTCAGTGACTCTGATTCAAATGATTCGTTCAGAAACGAGTCTCCAGTTAACAATTCAGTAAATTCACAAATCTGATTCAAAATGAGCTGAGAACGGGAGATCCTCAGAGCTTGAGCATGACTGACGGCATGAGAAGTAAGTTACTAAAGCCAGATTTTAGGATTTATTATTGTAACTGAAAATCATATTTAGGTCACGACTGTCATTTGTTTGTGAAGTAAATCTGTTGTAAAAGGGTGAGCTGTTTAAGGCCACTGTATGAAATGCTTGAATGTGGACATGTTCACATTTGTGAATTCAATACATTTTGCACATGTGTTAGAGTTAGCGTTAGAGTCTGCCCTCATCCCTCATCAGGACTAAAGCTCCATACCTGCTCCAAAATCGATATTTCCATCACTCTGACATGTTTGTGTGAGTGCACGCAATGCAAATAATGGCACAAAGTCTTATTTACATCCATAATGTGTGATAAAAATGTGGAATAATGCAGCAACGATCACATAAGCAACAAATAATAATGAATCCACTATGCGCGCTGACTTTCAGAGATTGTCACTTGTTTTTTTTTTCTTGTTTTTTTTTTTTTTCACAAGGCGCACTGTATGCTCGTGCCATTTATAGAAGCCAGCCCTATTTCCACATGAATTTAAATATTTATCCCCGGAGGGAGACCTGTCACTCCGTCTGTTATCAAGGGGAAATAAACTAACTGAAGAAAAGAACAGCCTCCTTGCATTGAGACATATGTGTTTATTACAACATGATGGTGATGTTAAAAGAGTTTGTTATTTTTTGCCACTCTGTAATTTTCAGGCTCCTGTAGGCATTCAGCATTTCTGTCTTCCAGATGGAGTCAAAATGGTTTAATTACTACTGCTACCTCCTCTGAACGGATTGAGGAAACAACCAAATTTCTGTTGTATTACTACAGTTCCACCAGAGCTCTTGTCTCTATGAGAAATGGAATATACAGGTGTGATCACTGAATATTCTATATAAATGATTATAATATTTAATATTAAATTAAATTGCTTAATGCCATCTCAGCATCTCAAGCTAGAACAATCAGACAATAACAAGTAAATATTATAAGAAACCATGTTATGCTCACCAAGGTTGCATGTATCAAAATCAAAAATAGAGTAAAAACAGTAATTGTGTGAAATATTGTCAAAATCTAAAATAAATGTTTTCTATATTGATATATTTAAAAATTTAATTTATTCCTGTGATCAAAGCTGAATTTTTAGCATCATTACTCCAGTCTTCAGTGTCGCATGATCCTTCAGAAAACATTCTAATTTGCTGATTTGCTACTCAATAAAAAGTCAAAAAGAAATTTATTTGAAACAGGAATCCCCTGGCACATCAGTAATGTATTTACTGTCATTTTTTTAATAAATTTAATGCACACTTGCTAAATAAAAGTATTAACTTCTTGCAAAATAACAAAAAAAAAAAAGATTATTCAGAAATCATTCTAATATGAAAATTTGCTGAAGAAACATTTATTATTATTATTATCATCATCATCATCATCATCATCATCATTATTATTATTATTATTATTATCATTGTTGTTGTTGTTATTATGAATGAACAGTGAAAACAGTTGTGCTGTTGAATATATTTTGTGGAAACCAGAATACATTTTCTTCAGGATACTCAAAAAAAAAAAATAATAATAATAATAATAATTATATATATATATATTTCAAACATGTATGTTCATATCCACATTTATATCATTTATTTGAAATAGAAATCATCAGGCACATTATTAATGTCTTTAATGCAATTTTTGATCAATTTAATGCACTTGCTAAATGGTACTAACTTCGTGAAGCAAAGAAAATCCCATTTAAAATTGATTTAAAACCATCAAAATCCTTTCTGATGACATTCTACAAAACATCTTCTCTAAAGAACATCCTGAATAAACTGCTGGTTTATGAATATTAAGAACAGTACAGTTCCAATTCCTTGAAACAGATCCAGAAAATATTTGTTCATTTTAAGCACCTGGGAACATATAAACACAACTTTGTTTCTTGGCAGAATAATAAAACCTCTGCACCCTGACTCTCAGTAACTGCATCGAGCCAGCCAATCAGATTGAAGCTTACCAATTTGGAAAAGGCAATTTCGTGTACAATATTCATTAGACAGTACACTGATGATCTGTGAGTCCTTGCTTTCCCCTTCCCCACAAACTGCCTGCACGTCGCTGAGCTAGACATAGTCCTTCCCTATCACTCCTCTAATGGTCTCTGA